GAAAATGAAGATTTAGGGAGATAGGAATAACAGATTGAATTTGCTTTGAGATGAAATTCTGGAATTGAAAGGTCAGGTGACAGTGAATAAACTTAAAATGCAAGGCAAGCATCGATATTGCAACAGACATTTTAGAATGGAAACTAAAGAAGTTTGACATAAATGAATCTGTAAAAATAGGATTTTTAAGTATGCCAGAAAATGTTACCTATATTTTCCCTCAGCGTGGTGACCAGAGTCTATAGAATAGAAGTTGTTTGTAGAAATGCTATGCAATAAGCCCGTAGTAGTGTGGTAGACAAAATAGTGACTCCCAAAGTTGTTTTTTCCCCAATCCATGGAACCTGTGGCTATGCTGGTTTACATAGCAAAGTGAAATTAAAATTGCAGATATAATTAAGGTTAATAACCAGCTGAACTTAAAATGGGGAACTGTTTCTGTGTCTATTTTTATTCATTCATTCTTTTTATCTGTTTATGTTCAGGACGAATCCAGTATAATGCAAGAGGCCTTAAGGGTGGAAAAGGAAGAAAGAAGGAAATCAGAGAGTGAGGGTCAAAGGGCAATGTGAATGGAGGGAAAATTCAAAGAAACACAAGGTTGCTGGCTTCAAAGATGGCAGAAGAAAACAGTAGCCGAAACAAAAAGGGGGGGACTGCCTTTAAAACTGAAAAACGCAGGACAAAGCACAGTATTCTCCATTGAAGTGAGGGACAGAGCTTTACTGATACCTTGGCTTCAGCCTCATAAGGACTGCATCAAACTTCTAACCTAGAAAAATGTAAAATGTTAAACATGTTGCTGTTTTAGTCCAATAAATTCTTGGAGACTTTTTACATCAAACAAAAAAAACTAATAATACGCTGTTAGAATTTTTCCAAGATGACTAATTTGTGAAACATCAATAATCAAACTTTCAAGACACTACTTCTGAATTATTCTCAGTCTGGGAGATTAGAATAATGTTACCATCGTGGAAGTTAAGTTAGGAATAAAATGAAAGTTTGGCCTGAGCTTGTCCCGCTCATCAGTGAACATATCCTGCCATGTGCTCACATGTGAATTCCTATTTTTAGTTTAAATAGCTGGACTCAGTAAATAGAAAAAAATGTTCAAAATGGTTTTCTGACTCATAGATTCAGGGATAATATGATGGAAAGACCAAATAAAAATCCTTAAATTCACTGTTCCCTGACAAGAGTACTAAGCTAAATGCAGTACCACATCTCTCTAAGAGAATTACAGGGATAACTTTAACCATCATTGACTTAAAAGAGGCAGAGGGGATGATTCATAGCCCACCCTTGTTTATATTGAATGCTTGGCCAATGCAAAAATCTGGTGAATCTATGACTGTGGGTTATTGAAAATGTAATCACAGAGTGACTCCAATTGCAGCTTTATTCCAGATGACTGTGTGGCCGCGTGTATGTATTTCTACCAGAGCAAGTCAGCGCAGTCAGTTTCATGTGGTATACAGCTATTGATATGGGAAATAAATATTCCTCCATTGCTAACACATATGTGAAATAATTTTATTTTTACCTGAAAATGACATCAATATATTTAATTGTCTTTTCTCAGAGCTAAGTTACTTCTACAGCTGTATGTCATAATAGAGTCCATAGGAACTGCAATTATTTAATGATCCCCCAAAATATAGTGGTGATCCATTGATAAGACTTATCATTGTGAATAGGAAACATCAGATGCCTAATGTCCTTAATACCAAAAAGTAAAAGACAAAAATCATAAAATTAATCCATGCATATATTATTAAAATTGCTATAGATTAAATGATCTTTGTTGTCACTATAAAAGAAAAATGAAGTTTTTATAATATCTACTAGGTATAGAAAAGCACAACACATGATGAGCCTTCTTACAAGCAACACGAACTACATTTGGATGTAGTGTGTTTAACTTTACCTTACACATAAGTCTGCTAGTTTTAAGTGGTACCCGTAGCAAGATATAGCTTTGTGAAAGATTATAGAAGCTATGGTGCTAATTTTTTTTTCTCATAAACCTTGCAACCTAGTAGAACTAACAGCAATCAGAGTACCTGTGGAAAGCAAATATGATCAAATAGAGGCTTTAGCTAGTCTAGTAGAATCAATGCAAATTCCAAAGGTTTTGGAGAAAATACATTTTTCTTTAAAAAAGTAGTTCTTTTCCCTAAACCATTAGCTGGAAATGTACCAATAGACTCAATTTTTTAAAATAAATAAATAAAATTGGTATCTCAAAAAAAAAGTAGTTCTTTTCTACTAAACTCTGGTATTGACTGGAAACAATAAAATTTAAAAAGTGACTACATATATAGATCTTCTAACAGAAGTGAATACAGAATTAAGTGAAAATGAAATATACAATAACCTATTTTATTAGGTCAGAAGATGTAAAGGAGTTGTCTGAGCAGGTACTTGTATTCATATGATGTCTAATCCTGTTGTATTACTGATCTTTCTTCAACCATAATTACAACTTCATGCGAAGTTTTTATGACTGGATGACAGAAGAATAGAAAATATTATGTACAGATGAGTTTGGGCAGAATTTGATAAAGCTGGATTGCAAAGCTTCTCAAAGGTTTCTCTGAAAACTACTAGTGAAAAGCAATTTCTCCAGAAAGAAAATTTAAATCAGAAAATACATGTCACTGCCCATTCTTAACAGAAAAAGAGTGTGATTTAGAGTTATGCAGCAATTAATAGCCAGTGCTACTGCATGATTAGATTGGTATGCAAAAGGGTAGAAAGAAAAATTGGTGGGATTTGGTTGTATGAGGAGAGCTATGCCTTTGGACCTGTCCAAGTAGGTATAAAATTTGAAAATACTATGTCTCCTACGAAAGCTGATCAAGATATACAAAATATTTGAAAAACATGTCTTGTGGTTATCAGTCATTTTACTTTTCTTTACTGACACTTTTTCCAATGTGTGCATGTATAAATCAGCCATGATATTTTGAGTAGATGTGACAAAAATTTGAACTATGTCTTCTCACCAAGTCTGTCTAGATTTATCAAAAAAGGAAGAGTGAATCTGAAATTAAAAGGCTTCACTCACTGGAGGAACAAGTTAATCTTGAAACATGTTGATTCCATACCTCATTTCAGCTGTGGAGAAGGGAGGTAGTGTCTTATCTTTATCAGTATTTACATTAAACTGGATATGCATTTATCATCCCAATGGATTGGCTTTCGGTAAATTGATTATCCCATAGATTAATGGAATGTCATTTGCTTAATTACTCTAACCCACACATCATTGGATTGACTGGAGTTCCTCGTTTCACAGCAATGGAAATGTAGCGATGGGAATGATTGCAGAAAATAATGTCATATAGAGATAATGAACTTAATGAAAATCACACTCTAACCCACACATCATTGGATTGACTGGAGTTCCTCGTTTCACAGCAATGGAAATGTAGCGATGGGAATGATTGCAGAAAATAATGTCATATAGAGATAATGAACTTAATGAAAATCACGATGCTGAGTTTTCTATTTTAGGGAAGAGGGGAATACATTCTTTAAAATAATTGACTTTTTAAGAAGTTGGAAATGAACTAGTTGTTATCACGATGCTGAGTTTTCTATTTTAGGGAAGAGGGGAATACATTCTTTAAAATAATTGACTTTTTAAGAAGTTGGAAACATGAACTAGTTGTCTTGGTAGTGATGCCTTGGTTCACAAATTTGATCCTTTCCAAGATTCTAGTCACAATTCAACAGTTAGATTCAATATTAACCTCACAGAGACATTTGACTTTGTTCTCATCTAGTTTTGTTTGAGGCCAAAATCATGGCCAAAATTAAATTCATGAGCTGAGATACCACTGTAAATATTCATAGAAGCATAAGAAGAGATGTTGAGAAAAATTGAACACTACAAAATATTACTAAAATTTAAGCAGAAAAAAGACACTTTAATAAAGAGATTGAAAATGATTTAGGGGCTAGGGATGTAGCTCGCTTCCACCACCTGCCTCGCAAGCTTAAGGACCAGAGTTCAATCCCCAGTACTGGGGGCAGGGGGAGAGAAAATGATTTGAATAGATGCTTTGTAGAAGAGAAAATCTAAATGAAAAAGTTTATTTTCATATTACTTGACTTGGCCGTGTGATATACTTTAGCAACACAGTGTAGATTGCTAGCATATTTCTTCCTGCCTATTGTAATTTTGTCATTAACATGAGAGAAATAAATACATAGGTGAATCCTGTGGTGCAGGGAGGTTAACACAGAAAATAGATCATTTCTCTTATCCAACAACAAATTTGTAAAAAGAAACAGTTTCTTTCCCATTACTGTGTGAAGCAAAACCACCTAGTTGACCCTAGTATGGAGCATCTAAACCTCTGTGATTAAATGTAGCTGAAAAAAATAAATGATTATTGTTGAATGCTGATATGTTTTGTTTCTTTTGAAAAAATAATTGTCACAAATGAATTATTTCTATTGATTTTTTAGTCAACATAAAATATGACACCAAAAGTTATGGGACTAGCTGCAATGGAAAATGAGTACATTTTACAGAAATGATATATAAAAGTAAACAAAACAAAATAAAATGAAAGCAGACTAAATACACTAGAGCCAAGAGTCATTTAAAAATAAGGATATACTGCCTGCCTCACAAGTGCAAGGTCCTGAGTTTGATCCCTGGAACCCAATAAATAAATAAATAAATAATTAAAAATAAAAATAATGATATACTATAAGAAATGTAGCAGCTTAATCATGGTTTGAACATTAGATTGAATGTATACAAATGTCGATGCCATAGCCTACCACACACCTAGGCAACATGGTGTAGCCTGTTGCTTCTAGGCTGAAAAACCTTTATAACAGGTCACTGCACTGAATATTGTAGGTAACTGCAGCACAATAATAGGCACTGTGCATTTAAACATATCTAAACATAAAGACATAGTTAGAACATGGTGTCAAATTTTTAAAAAAATAATACACCTATTTACAACATTTACCTTGAGTAGAAGTTGCTCTGGGTGAGTCACTGCGTAAGGAACGTGTGCATGTGAGATCCAAGGGTATCACTGTAGACTTCTAGAGACTACAGTAAGTTAATAAGATGGTGCTTTCTCTGCAATAAAAATGGAACCTAAGGTTACTATACCTCTTTATCTTTTATGTCATTATTTTCCACCCTTTGGACTGTACCATAATAACATTTAGTTTAAACACACAAACCTAATATACAACAGTTTAAAAATATTTTCTTTATATTTTTAATACATAAATATTTTTCCTACTTAAAAAAATTTATGTATACATACCTTTTTTGTCAAAAACTAAAACAGGGCTAGGGATTTAGCTCAGTGGTGCTGTTACCTGCCTCTGAAGCGCAAGGACCCGAGATCGATCCTCAGTAACCCCCGCCAAAAAAAAAAATCTAAGTCAAAGAAACACATTAGCCTAGCATCAGAAGGCTCAGTCTTCCACCTCCACATCTTGTCCCACTGGAAGGTCTTCAGGGACAGTAACTCATATGGAGCCACCATCTCCTATGATGACAGAGCCTTCTTCTGGCCCAAAGAACAAACACAAAAGCACAACAGCTAAAAGGAATATTTCCATAAGTGACTCCATGATGTTAAGAGAGAGCTAACAACCAGAAACAGATACAGCTGCACTCTGGGGATTTTATAATACCTGAGCATGAAACAATTGCAGCTTTTCAGTGACATAGGAGGTCCTCCTTTCTCAGTATAGGCATCATTGTGAATGAGAGCAAGAAGATTTAAAAACTGATTTAGAGGCAGCAATCTCCAATCACTGGGATCCAGAGTGAACAGGCTAGACATTGCAGGTAGCTACGTTTTAGAGGGAGCAGCTCTTAGCAAACTCCAGAAAATAACTGGAGAATAAAGTAAAAGCATTGATATATTATTGGAAGGTATGCTGACAGAGATATATTTTAATATTCAGCTTCAGAATTAACAGTGAGATTATGTTCTTCGGTTATTCTATAAGTAATGTAAAAATGAATATTATATAGTTAATACTTTCGGCTTCCTTTTATTTATAACACTATTCCATTTTATGGGAAAATGTGTGAAATATTATCCTATTTTCTGAATTGGAAGAAAAATATCTCTTCAATGATAGGAACATGTAAATGCTCATAGATTTTTTTCAATTGTGATAGAACTGTAAAATACAGATTTAGTTTCCAAGTTCAATCTCCAAATAAAATTTAGGATTTTTTCCTCATATGTGTTTTATTGTTCTCATGAAAAGAAATAATCTTCCATTAAGTTTTTTGGTACATTTCAGGTATACAAACACAGTTACTTTCACCATTAGGATCTTGTACCTTTACATGATGTATCTTGTTTCTTATTTTTTCTCCATTCCCCTGCTGTCCCTTGACCCTCTCCACTCTTCCCTATTCACAAATACTGTGTTTCCATTTCTCATATTTTTTCTTTTCCCTTGTTTCCTTTCCCCTCCCCTCCTGGCCATTTGAGAGATGAAAACAACATTGAGATTCCACCTCACCCCAGAAAGAAAGGCTGCTATCAAGAAATCAACCAATAGCAAATACTAGCAGGATTGTAGGGAGAAAGGAACCCTTCTCCATTGTTGGTGGGAGTGCAGACTGGTGCAACCACTGTGGAAATCAGCACGGAGATACCTCAGAGAGCTGGGATTAGAAGTTCCATTTGACCCAGCAATTCCTCTTCTGGGTATCTTCCCAAGAGAATGAAAAGAACCATACCACAGCAATATATGCATACCCATTGCTTATAGTAGCACAGTTTGGAATAGCTAAAATTTGAAAACAGCCCAGTTGAACATCAACTGGAAACTGGATAAAGAAGGTGTGTTCTTATAAAGTGAAGTTCTTATCAGCCATAAAGAATGAGAAACTAGAGACATTTATAGCTAAATGGATGCACATTGAGACCATATTAAGTGAAATAAATATGTGTAAATACAGAATATTTCTGTGAAAAACTGAAAGCATACATAAGAATCAAAATGCATAATTGATAATTATGAAATAGGAAGAAAATGAAAAGAAAATTTTGACTGCCAAAAAGTAAAATAAATTTCTCTAGGAAAAAAATGAATCACCCTTTGAGGAAATATAGTTAGTGTTGTGCTCTAACACCATATGATATACTCCCTTTGTCTCAACCAACATGTATTGTAATTTTTTCTACCACAGGATAATTTTTAAAATATATTCTAAATACAGCACATAACCACAAATTTTTAAAACACCACTTATTCAAACATGTGTGTATTTTATACATTTCTTTTTTTTTTCATTGAGTTTATTGGTACATTTTAGGTATACAGTACAGCTACATTCATTGTCGGGATCTTGACATGACATGACATGACATGACTTTACATGACAGGTCTCGGTTCTCATTTTTTCCCTAGCCCCTGCCCTTCCTTCACCCCCTCCTCCCTTCCCTATTTACAAATACTTTATTTCCATTTTTTCATTTTCTCATGTTTTTTTTTCTGAAATTCTCAACAGAAATAGTGTAGTATATTACTAACTTTCAAAGCATCATCAAAATAGACCCTATTGTAATGGATAAGCTTGGATAATATAAGCTACATGAATTGAAAAAATAAATCTGGGTGCCTCAGCATAAATAAAGGGGGGAAACTTAATATATAGGCTTTGTGGCTGGAAATGGAGGAGCTATCTGAAAAAACAGAAATGATTACCAAGCTGCGAAATAAAATAAATCACAATCAAATGATAATTTCAACAAAAATAGAGACTCAGCTTCTCACAATTAATGAGAATATTAATACCGTAAGCAAACAGATAAAAAGTTTTCTCTTAAAATTTTTAATTGAAACTAGCAATTATTTCTTATTTTGCACAAAGACTTTTAGGATTGTGGGTAAAGTGTAAATAAAAGTGAAATGTAATAAAGAATACAAGAGAAGAACTTTGCAATCTGAGGCAGAACGTATTAATATCTAAGATTCTCCTTTATCCACAGGGAATACATTCCACCTTCCCTATTGGATGTCCAAAACTTTGGGCAATGACCTGTATGTATCATGCTATGTTTTTCCTCTAGATATGTACCTCTAATAAAGTTTAATTTATAAATTAGGCATGGAAAGGCATTAACAACAGTAATAACAGAACAATTATAACAACATACATAGTGCACTGTAAAAAACGTTATGGAAATGTAGTCTGTCAATGTACTTTTATCATTTCACAAAATAAAGAAGTTATGGCTTCTCTTTAGCATATCTGAATTGCCACCATCACTGCTTTACTCTGGGCCATTGCTAAGTAAATTCAGGGTTACTTGAACACAAGCACCTTGATACTGTGGCAGTCAGTTTAATAATTGATGGCTTCTAAGTGACTAATGGGCAACTAGGACACACAGCATGGGTACAGTGGACAAAAAGATGATTCATGTTCTGGGTAGGAGAGAGTAGGACAGTCAAAGATTTTATTATGCTATTCAGAATGGCATGAGATTTAAAATTCATAAAATTTTTATTCTGGAACTCTCTATCTAATATTTTTGGACTGTGGTTAATTAGGGCAACTAAAAGCACAGAGTGTGAAACCACAGATAAGGGACAACTGTAAGGCTTTAAAGAGTCAAAGGGTACCAAGAAAGACTGAAAATACATGGAGCTTTGTGTCAGGAGAGATATTTTACCAAAAGTAACAATCAGATAATATTACTAAACTTGAAATAACGATAATTTAAATTCAGTTATCAGCAAAATCCATGAATAACAAATAAGGGAAGTGAATTTAAATTTTCCTAAGCTATAAATTATTTGGGTGGAAATATTAAATACTCTTTTAGAGTTACTTGAAATTTTAAATTAGTTGAACATTTTTCCACAAAATAAATAAAAGCAATGGGAATTTTAAAATGCTTTTGCAAATTTTATCTCCAAGCGTCCTAACTTCTTACTTCTGATTTTTATTTGTTCTATCCCTTCTCATTTAGAATCACCATGCGATATAAGTTGATGAATTGACTTGTGACTATTTAGCTATGCATTAAATATTCATTAAACAATTGCTATTTTAATACAATACAAAATTATGAAGAAAATCATATCCACATTCATCATGTTGTATACATGTGAAATGCCAAACAAGTGGTGGTGATATAAATATAAGCAGCATACCATGGAATATCAAGTGAAATATAATTTTTAGGTTGAATTATAAGGTGAAAGACTGAGTATACTGTGATATTTGACCAAAACTTAGAAGGGTAGGTAAACACATTTGGAGAAATAAAGTTGAAAAGATATTTCTGGAAAATTTCTCAGAAAGAACAGAAATATTAATCATATCAAAACACATAAAGTATGAAACTATACGGAAGCAATTTCCTGGAATGTAAACTATTTGAAGCATGATATGAACTATTTTTGTAAAATAAGATTTAATCCAAATTATAGTGGTGAATTACATAAGTTAAGTTTTACTTAACTCTATTTTTTGGTAGATTTTATTCATAGTATTTATATATATGTGTATGTGCGTGTGTGTGTGTGTGTGTGGTACCGGGGATCGACCTCGGGTCCTTGCGCTTGCGAGGCAGGCACCGAACCGCTGAGCTAAATCCCCAGCCCTCATAATATTTATATTTTGCTTGATTTTGTTACCTGCACTGATGTGAACAGGTTGAGCGTTTTTACTTTTTTTTTTTTAGACCTAAAAGAAAGTTTTAATATAAGAGAATTGTGAGAGATTGAAATGTACAGACTAATCAGATACTTATCACCAGTGTCAATGAGTGATTTAGAAAGCTTGCTTCAACCAGACGGTGGTGAGAACAAGTTAGAAGGACAGTTCTGGGGCACAGATTAATGGGAAGTTCAGAGCAAGGGAAGAAAAGACCAGAGATGGCATAGATTGCAAAGGAGGAACAGAGCACAGAGAAACATCTTTTTACCTGCTTGTTGTTTGGAGTCCAGCTTCGGGAGCCCTGTTGATAGCTTGTCCCCAACTCTGAATTTTGAAAACTCCTCTTAAGCCTCCGGCCTGTGATGAGAAATTTTTGGTATTTTATCAACATTTGTCAGTAGAACTATTATTGAATGACAGAACTGAAAGGAACTTTATCTGCCAGTTATGTGAGTTTCCCATTTTTAGTTGAAAACACTAATGCTTGGAGAAATTAAGTGAATCTTTCAAGATCACACAACTAATTTTGTGATCTGTAGTGAAAATCCAGGTCTCAACTTCATCAATCAAATGTTCTTATGAACCCACACATGTTTTGCATGTAACTTGACTCATTCTTTACTCTGCTTATGGATTTTTCAAATGATCTGTGAAGATGGAAACAGAAGCAATTATTGGAAGGGTGGTGCCAGTGGAGAAGATACTTAAGATACAATACTCCTTCTGTAGCTCAACATTTTTGCTAATTTTAGCTGATTAGTTTCAACCTACCTGACGGTACTAATACAAACATTGATAAGTGACTCCCATTTATAAGCACATATTTTATGAAAAAGTACTATGTATAAATACATTATCATTATTATTGTTGTTGTTGTTTGTTTTTGTTTTTGTTTTTTTGTGCCAGAGATTAAACTCAGGACCTTGTGCTTGCAAGGCAGGCGACGGAACCACTGAGCTAAATCTCTGGCCCCTCTTTTGCCTTTATTCATTTATTTATTTGTTTGTTTGTTTGTTTATTTATTTATTTTGGTACCAGGGATCAAACTTGGGTCCTTTGAGCTTGAGAGGCAGGCAGAGGAACCAAATCCCTGAGCCAAATCCCTGGCTTAAATACATTATATTTCTCAGGTAGCTCTACTTTAAAAAATGTCCTTGAAACATCTTCCAATATCATTCTTTAACCAAGTAAGGAGAATAACAATCCTCCATATTAATCCTATAGTAATTGGTAACACTCAGATTTTGTATCTTCATAGACTCAGAAGCAGCCTATACATTTATCAAAAGATGGTACGTAGAAAGAATATGTGGTATTTACAAAACTTGAGTCATTTTGTAGGAAAATGGATGTACCTTGAAACCTGTTAAGTGAAATAAATCAGACACGCAAGCTTAAATATTATATTTTTTCTTATATGAGAGTCCAAAAGTATAAATAAAGAGCAAAATAAAATATAGATAATAGGAAGTAGTAAGATAAATCATTCTCAACTGGGAAGGGGATTAGGATATAGAAAAAGGGGAAGAGAGGGAAGAGATAGGGTATGATAGAAAGGACTTAGGATGTGTTATGTCCATATACCAACTCCACACAAGGAATATAAACATTATGAACTGCACACATGTACTAGTAAAATAAAAAACATGCACAGACTCACAGCTGTATTACATGAATTATAGGTAAGAACAGAACATAGCATACAAACTCACACTATATCCAACAAAGACAAGTATACTTATATGGACTCAAACAACAGATCTATCACAAACAGTGGTCTCTGCCAAGATCATTTGCCCTTTTTATTCACCCAGATTCAAATTAAACGTTTTGTAGTACATGAGTAACATTCTCTCTGCTTTGAATAGGCTTAGCCAGGTTGCCAGAGGACCACATGTAACAGACCTAATTGAAGGGGACGAATGATTTAGTCATCTGCACCCAGAGACTTTCTGTGCTTTATGGAGAGCAAAACTACTACGTCACTCGGCAGCCGAGTCAGTGAGCTCTGTGCTCACTCATGTCTGCAGAGGCTCCTTCATGCACAATTCACAAAGGTGAAGTGTTTGTGGGAGGATGACTGCGCATAAACTCAAAACTAACTTTCAGCAGCCAGTTCGCGGTTCCTTTCCACGGACCCACACTTCAGATTCCACATGGGGTTTGCCTTCTACACAAATATAAAAGAACAAGGACAAACAAATTTTAGAGTCTAACTGCTATGAACTGAAATGTTGGGCTTTTGCTTTTACTAGGCATATTTTCCCTCTGTAATGCAGACAACATTTTTACTGAGTTTAATTTCATTCTTTAATAATAAAGGCTACAAATAAGCATCTTACTCATTTGATTAAAAGACTAGATAAACAAAAATTATAATACACAATGGACACAGGAAATATTGTAAAGTATTTTTGGTATTACATTGAAGATTCTATAATATCATAGACCCTAGACTGTCAAAAATTATTCAATATTCTTTTCCTAAAGTCTTCATGTAATCAAATAGAATAAATTATAAATCTGAGATTCAAAAAATAAAATAGTATTTTATTTAATTTCCTTCTCTCTGGCAGGTAAACATTTTTTAATTACTGGAATTAGATCTAAATTTGCAGTTATCACAATTGGTTGTTTTAAAATTTGAGAGATGAATGAATTCAGATATTGAGAAAGTAAACTAATGGAACTGTGACACTAAATTATTCACAGTGATTATTTTAATCCACTTTATTTAAATTAGAATATGTGGAATTAAGTCATTAATAGACCATAGTTATTGCCTTTGGAGAAGTCACAACTTACCTGGAAAACAAACAGACAAAATAATATACACCTGTGTGTGTGTGAGAGCGAGAGAGAGAGAGAGAGAGAGAGAGAGAGAATAATACAATGAATAATATAATGGCTAATAGAGTTCTTTAATTAACAGAGAAGCAAATCATAGTATTATAATATTCCCAGGTTCTGTTCTGTCTTACTTTCTAAGCAATATCAAATTGCTAAAGATATTAATAACCATATCATGAATGAAAATAAATAACTGTTTATTCTGCTGAATCACTTTTGCACCCTTTCTCAAAATGGCATTAGAGATCCAACCCATAAAAGCAAACTCAAGTAGGTTGCAAATTTTAAAATGGTTCTATACTGTTTTCCATATAACATTCATTGATATTATGTCATTAAGGGCTTATTCTACTATATTCATACACTTCATTCCTCTCATGAAGAGCAATAAAGTATTGGATTATTGCAGGTAAACTGATACAATGAAGAGAGTTTAAGAATTCCTAGATCAATTTTTTTTTTTTTTAAGAAAATCTTCATTAGGGCCAGGGATTTAGTTCAGTGGATCCACCATCTGCCTCGCAAGTGCAGGGACCTGAGTTTGATCCCCAGTACCAAAAAAAAAAAAAAAAAAAAAAAAAGCTTCATTAAATGCCTTTAATTCTATGATGTTTTAAAATAATCATCTGAAAGGCAAGAATTTTAAATGTCTTGATAGTCCCATATGACTGATTTAGATTTCCACTGTGGTAAGAAAAAAGAGTGAAATGTATCCTCTTATTTTATTTCATTATAAAAATATCTACCCTTTTCATACTAAGCTTCTATTTTCCTTTCTTATTTTTTTCTGAAAAAGTTCAACTGATATAAACAGGCTGGAAAGCAACACTTCTCCTGTGTACCTTGGGAGAGTTGTACCTATGATACTTTTGGAATTTTATTTGTTATCACCCCAGATTTGGGGAATGATTATTCTCTAGCTCTGAGTTTGCCTCTGGCCATGCAAGCTCTCTAATGCAATATCAAGGCACAACTACTTCCAGCAGTTACTCAGTAAAGTAAAACTTTTTCATTAAAATCTATTATTGTCTTATTGAAAAAATAACCTGAGGCTGATTCTTTCAGGCTTACTTTAAAACATAGTTGTTTCAATTTACATACTGACCAACATATAATTGTCTGAAATGCAAACTCATATTTTCCCAGAATATATCTGTGAAATCTGAGTCGTGCTCACATAATTTAAGAGACAAAAAGCATAGGTGAACAATTTGAATGAAATGAGTTTGCCTCAAAGTCAAAGTAGTGTGCCAGTTAACGAATTATTGGTCAGGAAGAACTTAGAATGAAAAAGCTGGAAGAGGTAGAAGACCTCTTGACAATCCTCATTATTCAAATATAAAATAAAGCTAGGGTTTTCAGATGTGGAAAATTTTTAACATGGTAATAGGAAAAAGTATATGAGAGTATATTTAAAATATTTCCAGGAGGGGCCGGGGATTTAGCTCAGTGGTTCTCCCGCCTGCCTTACAAGTGTAAGGACCCGAGTTCTATCCCTTTGTTGATTCAATAATTCAGTAGTTTATTCAGACAAATAGCAACTGTAGTTTGAGAGAAAGTAAGTCTTCAGAATGCAAGATTTATTTTTTTTTCCCTCATTTCACAATCACAATAATCACACAAGAGTTAAGAACAATAATTATTTTTATTTTGTGAATGAAGAAGCTAAAGAGTGAAGGTAGTTAATTTGCATAAGGACAAATAGCTGGTTAAATTCAGCACAGGATTTGGTCCTGGTTTTGTGTTCTCAAATCCTTACAAGGCTAATGAAACTCAATAATGTCCAAATATAGGAATAAGTGAAGATTGAAATCTTTCATTTGAAGTCAAATGCATAATAGGTTTCTTATGTTTTAAGATAAATTGAGACAAAGTATTAAGAGATTTCCACACTTTACATCATAAATGTTACCATATAACCAGTTAGTTTACAGATAACTGGTACCGCCCTCTAGATCATGATTTATCAAATCGAACTGTGCTTGGAAGTCACATGCTTAGCACCAAGAATAAGTCCCACTATCAAGTGACCTTTTGGACTTCAGGCAGATACGGCAGAGTGGGAGTCATCTTTCAGTAAGACAACATTTTAAAAAGAGCTTGATAGTAAATTTATGAACAGAACCTTGTAAGCCTAGACATTTCTGCCCAGTATAATTCAGCTGGCTGGCCTCTCCACTGTCCCTGTAACAGGTATGGATACTATTAGCATTCTTAAGCTTTCTAATTTATGGCTGATTAATTTATTTGCCAGATTAAATAACTTCTAATATCTCAATAAATCCTCTTGACTATAAATACTAATAAAAATACCATGGGACATATAGATTATAACATTTTAAACTGAACTAAGCCTTGTCAAATGAAATTCTGTTCAATTAAAAATGATTTCTTATGGGATAAATATAAATTAGCTTGAGGTATATGTTTTATAAGTCAATAACTCTTGTATCACACCCTGCTTGCTTAACTATGCTGGATACATTCATTACACCTCATTTTCACC